TTGCTTTAAAATTAAAAGTTTGGCTAGCTACAGATCTGAAAATAACTTTGTTGGAAAAAGTTGAAAAAATTATTCCTTGTTTATTCGATGTTTAAAAATTATTCGATGTTTGGTTTATTAGAAAAATCAAAAATTTTTTCAGTACTATTATCATATTTAAGCGTTCTACTGATGTTCAATAAAATTATTTTCAGGTCTATTTCTGGTTAAATTGAAAATTTGCAGTCAAATTATTCTTTCCGTGTTGGTATTACAAAAAATTCTACTGAGGTTCAACAAAATTATTTTCAGATCTATTTCTGGTTAAATTTTCAAATTTGCAGTCAAATTATTCTTTCCGTGTTGGTATTACAAAAATTCTGTATTGACTTTATATATAAATTCAAGCGATATAAAAGCAACGTTCAACGGTGCATTGTTCAAAAGTCACAAAGTGATTAAACTTCTCAGTTTACACATAATTACTTTGTTAAAGATAACGCTCATCCATTAACCTTGTCTTCTGATTTCTATCGACCATTATTAGCTGACCAGCTGGGTCAACATTGGATCTGACGTCACCATCGCGTGATTTACGAGAACGACACGCTTGTTCCGGTGAACGTTCCCTTCAAGATCCGACCTTCCCTTGAAAGTGATCGCGAATAAGGACAGTTTTGACAATCTCTTTCAAAAGAGACCCGCTGACGCAACGTGGAAGCGATACTCAAGTGAACCAGAAATCTTTGAAAAGGAAACAAATGACGTGTGTTAAGAAGCAACTTGTGATTTTGACAAATCATTCCTGACATCATTCTTTAAGAGACTCGAGAACTTCTGCGCCTTCTACTACTGAAGTCGTACCGATTGTTGCGACGTTTTCTAGTAACGAATAAAGAGGATGAATAACGAAATTCTTCCATTTAATTTTACGCGGACTACATATTAATAGAAAGTTAATTCCAACACGCTGTGTTGCATTTAATGTTGAGTATTAGAAAGTGACTAAGAAAAAATTGGCTTTAGATTCCCCGGATAATAATAGTCAACTGAAAGTACGCACGATCTGATACGCGCTTTATAAATATTCTCCGTAATATCAGAAACGCTCCGAATTCTGTTGTGTTATCTTTATCTCGTGTAATATTATTCGAGAAATTCGAGAAGTAATTAATTCTCATGAATTCGTATTCACTATACTATAAATACATGGAAATTATCCGCCGTATTATGGGCTCATTGTCAATGATAATGAAAACATTGTAATTACTACGAAGCGTAATTTTCATACGTGTAGAGTGACGTGTACACGTAAAATAACATGTACGGTGACACGAGATGATAATTAATCTTAAATGATAGTTGTGACGTGTGAAATGCAAAAAGTCAGCCGCTTTACTTTTCACAATTCATACGTAACAATTGTTGAAAATTAATTATCATGTCGTATACATATTATAAAGTCACATATCATACTACATCATTAGGGTATTTTGCTTGAAAATAATCGCTGGGTCACATTAGAAATTTCCATCATTGTGATACTCCCGGAATCATCAATCGCGCTCAAGATTCATTACTACGGGAATTATGTAGGGGGGGCTTCGCCCCGGCGAGGGAACTCGGCGCGCAATTGCAGCGGCATTTACCTTCGCGTAAATCGCGAAGAAGGCGAAGCGCGGCCTCTCAGGTAGGCGCTTCTACACAATTCCGGCGTCGCGCGATACATCATCGGATTACCAAGCGTCACCGCGAGTTCGGGGTGTTGATTCGCCATTAGTCACTCTCAAACGCGCGTGTTCACCGGCCGATTCGCCGGCAGCAGCGCGCGCGCGCGCGCGCGCGCGCGCGATCTCCGCATAATTCGCACGACGAACGCGTCGACCCGCGATCGCGATAGCGCGGGCCCTCTTTGTTCTCGGCCCTCTCCTCTCTAACGCGCGCGACGCTGAAAACACGCGCGGCTAATTAACCGCGGTATACTCTATTTGACGGCGCGGTAGGAGAAAGCGGCCCCCATCGAAATGAATCATTAACTTTAATCTTATAGAGACTCGATTTCTGTACGCGCGTTGCACAAGCGTCGTAAACGGAAGATGCCACGGTAGCCGAGGTATATTACAACGTGAAGAAACAAAACGCTGAATAATATTGATATAATATATTCCCGCATATAAGCACGTCACTAAATACTTTTTATTTTTATGAATGTTTCCTCTCGCTCGACAAAAGTCTTTCTTTATTCGCGTCTCTACCATAGTTCTCTAAAATATTCTACGAAACATACGGAGATTTTTAAATAAACGTCGCATGCAGGACGTAAAAATATTTTCGTTAGATATATGCGCAGGAATGAAAATGCATGGTACGTTTGTGTCGAGAACATTACTATAGAAAGTTGCATATCGGATACATCGCTAAAACTGCAAACCGGAAGTACCTTAGCCTCAGCCGAATGCGCATCGCGGATCAGTTTTGAAGATGGATACTAAGACCAAGAGACTTTTACTGTTATGACGTACTGTCGAGGATCACAAAGGTTATGCCTGGCGAAAGGTTCCTGTAATATTACGCCGTAAAAAAGAGAGAGAGAGAGAGAGAGAGAGAGAGAGAGAGAGAGAGA